AAGGTCCGTCCTACCACTAAAATAACTTAGTTATTATTTAGTTGTACTAACGTTATTTGTTCTTTTATTTATTTCTTTTGTTGTATATGTATATATATATATATATATATATATGTGTGATAATGTGATAATATATTTTTTTTGTGATAATATTTTGCACCATTAATAAATTCGTCGTCTAAATGTCGTTACTCATTGTTTGTGACTCCTGTATGTGTATCGCTGGTAGTTTCCACAATTATTTCCATCACTATTTTATTAGTATTCGAGTATATCTTCCATGTTATGTATTAAACGCAAGTAAGCGTAGTTTGTTCAAATTACAGAGATTGTAACAGTGTTATACAGAATAATATACTTTAATATAATGACTGTTATTTTGCTAATGGTAGCCGGTCTTTGTTGGAGCTCCATGAATCGCAATGGGCGATGTACTGCATCTCTTCGTGCCAACGTCTCTCGAGAAGAATGTTGTTCCGATAATAGCGCCACCACTGCTTGGAGTCGGAAAGACTTGCGTTCAGGAGATCTGTTCTTCTGGAGGGTTCTTGGCGGTGGAGTGCCATGCCAACTTTGTAAAGGTAGAAAAAAATCTACGTTTTAGTTTTTCTTTTTTTTTAGTTCCTTAAGTGATTGAGAAATAATATCCCCCTTTCATTATCAATAAGTCAAAACTAATATCTTTTTTCTTAATTAGTGACCATTTTGATAGAATTGCCCAAACGTGCCAAAGTAAACCTTTTGTTCAAAGCGTCAAAAAACCATTTGTTCACTAATAAGACTTTCAAAGTATGTTATTATACATATTGCTTAACACGTTGAAACCAGTATACTAAAATTTAGACTAATACTAAAATAATTAGACAATAAAAGCAAAATATTGCGCTGATGAAATGATAGCGAGAACATTTGCTAGAAAGGAGATAATCAGTTTATCATTGCATTGAACTCGAATGTTCTCAAAGTAAGTTACAAAGGTAGGATCACTTTTAGTAGTTGAACTGTATTTTTAGTAGCTCTAATAAGAACTCTTTTGATTCCACTAAGATATATTTAATGATCAGCAAGCAGAAAGTATTGTAAAATACACGAAAGAGTTCCCAATATTGTATTTTGTGTTCCTTTCTTTATCAATGTTCTTTCTTCAAACCCTGAGGTGGCCCTTTCAAACCGTTATAAACGTATTTAAAATGGATTGATACTGATTGTAAATTATGAGTATATTCAATTTCTGTAGTGCATATTGGTGTATACAAGATATTTAGTACTAGAAATAAACAACCTTATAACGCCAAAATGTTGTTATTAATTAATTAGACACTCAACGTTTCGCTTTACAGCTTCTTCAAGAACGTTCATTTGAAGCTTGTGCTGTCAGTTTTGGTTTGTGTTTTAGTGACGTTACGTATTAGAATTTCGAATAGTCTGAAACCAAGTTAGCTGATAATTTAAATTTAGTACTTAAATTATACTTTGGATTTAGTATTTAAATATATGCCGATATATAGCCAGTTTATGATATTTGCCAACAAGATTGATACACACAATTTTCTTTTTTAACACAAATACGTTTTAATATCCACACAACAATACAATTTACAATAACGGTTATTACAAACAATTATTACAAACATTGATTTCTGAACAAAAGTTTCACAAACTTACAAGCAAGATAAAGTCTTCTTTCTAGTCTGGAACTTCCTTGATATCTTATCGAGGGTTCAAGAGAGCGAGTTGATTACGAGTTAACGTAGGTACAATTCACTTAACGGTAAGCTAGCTAGCTTTGTCCTTCGTTATTTATCGGCCACACACGTCGAGTTTTCCACAATTAATTTATATAATGTTTTCGTAAAAATACTAATGTCCACTGAAGTTAAATGATTTGGAATGTTCGAACTTTATAAAGGTTCCTGGTCAAACATCTGGATCATTAGCATCAGAATCTTGTGGAACATCTCTTGATATAGACATACTACAATCAACGCAGCCCACGGATATTTCACCTTTTTCATATTAAAAAGCTTTTCTAGAAGCTCCGGACACGGTCAGGGCATTTTATTCGGCGCTCTGGCCGTGAAAGTGGGTTTTCTCGGGCTACTCCCGTCCCCCCCCCCCCACAGTAAAATTTCTCCTTATGCTTTAGATCCTCAGATTCTAGCCCTGAAAAGGACCAGCCCAGGTTAAATGTAACTCTTTAGTTCTATAGTTCTCTATCAATGTCTAAACAGTAAGCTCTAAAGTTTTAATCTGCTAACCAAAACTCTACAATCCGTTTAGTATTAATATTTCAGTCAATCAAGGACGTACTCGATCTACATCTCCCTGCTCTGCTCTACAAACACCCGACGCCGCATAGCCATTCAACGCCAAGTCCAGCAAAAAGTAAGAAGTAAGAAAACTACCAGTGTCAACAAACAACCCAATAAAGCTCACCATCGTTCTCTTCTTCTCCACTTCTCCTCACAGCCTTTCCCTCAACTTGTGAGCTCATCAATTTGAAATTACCTGTTTAACAACTATTAGTTAAAACCACCACTCATGCAAGCGTTTAATACTTAAAAGCCTCGGCAACTTATTTCTAATTATGTAGCGGGGTGAAGAGAAAAGTTTCTGACTGCCCCGGGTTATATTTCATTCCCCGAAGAGAATGAAATATACTACTAACCTAAATACCTACCATGCCTATCGGATCTGAAGTTTTCCGTTAAACATTATAATAATCACAGTTATAGTTTCCAAAGTTTATAGCACATTGACTGTAGCAAACTAATGATAGATACTCTCTTTTTTTGGCGCGTCGCGTTGGTTATATTTATAGGCGTGTGGAGGTTTTCTAGAAATTTCAGTTTTACGTAACAATACTTGCGCTAACACAAACGTTTACGTACACATATATTGTTGATTCTTACTCTCGAATCTTCTACAACTTTGGAGAATAGGCCGGAGTTTCGCAATACATATTTAACATTATAAGCTATGCATGTTTCTAAATATAAATTTAATCTAAACAAACGTCGATATTAAAATAAATATATAATAATAATTTCGTCACAGTGAACGCTCCTGAAGAAGCTGTAAAGTGAAATGTTGAGTGTCTAATTAAATTGTTTGTTTGTTT